AACTTTGAACAATAGTCATTCTCCCACTCTCATCCTATGCAATATCAATTTTACCTTTGACATTTTTAATTCTCCATCTATATAATACCTTTTAATATTATATAGAATATTTTATTTTTTAATCTAGACATTACCTATAGTTTAAATAATTTTATATCTTAGTATGGATTTTTAATTAAGTTTATTAACATTATAAATAAAATATTCTTTTAATAATTTTATTACAAAATCTAACGCTATTTTTTATAATTTTTATTTAAATATAACATACATTAAGTATGTATATTTGAGTGTGTGCATACACATATATTTAAGTTTCGCTCTCTCTCTTATTCTCTATCATCTACATGGATAAATGAGTTTTGATCGTCGTTAATAAAATAATATTTAAATTATAATTTAGAATGCATTTACAATATAAATAGATAATCTTTTAGAATTCTGTTATAAAATTTATTTCTATTTTTATTTCATTAGTGGTGACTTAAACTCATTTATCTATATAGAATTCTATTATAAATTTATCTCTAATTTTATTCATTATCTTTGTATTACTTGCATTCAAATATTTATAAAGTTTTTACTCCCTTTTATTGTCACTTTATAAATATATATTAGAGCTTCAATTACTAATAATAAAGTTAAAATTTTTTTTCTGGCCATTTATTTCACTATAGAACATATTACTTAATTCCTATATTTCACTATTTCTCACTCTTCTTTTTTCATCTTAGGAATAATTTTTCTTTTGTTATATAAATTTTAAAAAATGAAAAAACAATATCATGATTTTCAAAAAGTAAAAAAGAAAAAAGAGAGAGAGAAAAAGGTTGATATGTAAGGGTAACATAGGTATTAAAAAAGTCAATGAACATAAAAGGAGGAGAATGACTATTGTTCAATATTGAGTGGGAGTTTAATTTTTAAAGCAAAGTTGAGATGTATAAATGATTTTCACCCATATTTTTGTGGAATGCTGTAATTTATGTATAGTACGTAATTTATTTTATTTGGAACACCGTGAATATATTATTTCACGCTTTGATTGATATAATTGGGTAACTCTAAATAGGTTTATCAGAAAGGAGTATTACATTAAACTTTTATATTAAAAGTTATGTTTAATATCTCATAAATTAAGTATTATAGACAATTTTCTACAGATACTGTTTAATGAAAAAATTTGCTACGATTAATTTCCTTACTATTGATACTATAATAGGGAGATTGTGAGTTAGGATTGGGATAATTTTTAAAAGTTTATATTAGAAATAGAGGTAAATTTGGTTCGCATAATTTGACATGAATAATAAACGATAAATATTCATAATATTCAAAAGTAAAGGTGGTGAGTTTGGCACTTTAACTAGGTTTTACCGAACCAAAATACTCACCTACTATTATCGCGGTCTTCTTCGCAAAATCTCTCACATACTCTCCCGCATTCGCGACTCCAACAACTATGGCAGCTTCAAAGTTTTTGATCTTAAGAAAAATCTTAACAGAATATCAGCTGTTTTAAAAGAATTGGAGACAACATTTAGCAGTCTACGGGAAGAAGACTCTAAGTTACAAAGGGAGGCTAGCCTTCCATTGAAAATTGCAATCGCTATGGTAACACTATTGTTTGTGATAAACGGCGTGTTGATTGTCTTAATTGCATGCAGAAAACTAGGGTGCACTGTTTATTATTTTACTCTGATTGCTGTGTTAGTTGAGATTGTTGTATCACTTATCTGTGGTTGGTTTTGCTAATGGGGAAATTAACAAGGTGAAAAAAGGCGTAGAAGAGTTAACTAGGCTGATAAAGTTTCTCCAACAAGATATCAGCTTGTTGATGTTTGATATATCTATGCAACTACCAGTTAAGACTCAAAAGACTAAAGGTTTTATGCGCAAAGATGAGCAACTGAAGGTTGAATTGGAACGACGGAGGGACAAGAGTAGGCGGATAGTGGATGAAGATACGGTGAAGAAATCGGAGAAGATCTTGACAGACATACAAATCATGGAGAGTAGCTTGACTCAAATGCCGTCTAGTGATGTGTATACTAGATGGTATACAAAATTACTCATATTCATACCCTTTACTATTATTGTGGCTGGTGCCTTCTTGTCAGCTACCTCTTACCTGATATTCTGCAAGCAGAGTCACTCAGATGAATAGCGGATGAAGACCATGTTTGTGGTAGTTAGTACACCATCTTTGTGTTAGTTTGTGGTAGTTAGTACACCATCTTTGTGGTAGTTTGTGGTAGTTAGTACCTGTAGTGACTAGCTTTGTTGTAGTTATCAATTTTTTTCTTTCAAGTTGATTTCAAATATGTATCTTGTTTCATGTAGTAAAATGACTCTAATTTGGTTGAAGTTACTTGTTTATTGGCAGAGCTTCTTAATTATCTTATTTCTGAGACATTTACTTTTTTTTGGCTTATTAAATCAACTTTACACTTTACCCACAATTCAGTTTGCATTTCTATAGTAAAAGCACTGTTTTGGGGTTCAAGAAAAAGCGTGAAGCCTGCTGAGAAGGTTCGGGGAATTCACTTTATAAGGTGCAAACTCATAGGTATTTTTTGGGTTCGTTTTGTGGTAGTTGAAAGTCGAAACCACTAATATTATCAAAGCAATCAAGAATACAACGTAAGGAGAAACCGGTACTTATGTAGTGTTCTTTTTGAAAGTTATGGGCAATTACAGTGATAGGTTCTTGTGATATCACTTCAAATGTGATGAGATTTTTCTTTTGTTTTAGGGGGGGCGCAGGGACTTCTGAAAAGATATCCATTTATGTGGTTTTTTCGATCTCAAAGGTGTCGCTAGATGAGTGGGATTCGTGCAGTCTTGATGCCACAGGTCGCCATTAGTTTAATCCCTTTCTCTCACACGGTTTTCTGTGGAGCTTAGAAGAGTGTGGCTCTGCTGTGGAGGTTATCAACTATCACCTTGACGACTTCTACTTGAAAGCTTTAATGGATAGTTTTTGCAGGGTAGAGAGCAGTACACTTGACATTGTTTCTCGTTTCACTCTTTGTCTCTCTGTTTGTTTTTACTGGTATTTATTTATCTTAAAAAGCTGTTTCTGCCTGCCTTGCCTATGTCAATAGTACCAATTGTAGCAACAATTCTGTATTTTGCTTATTTGTTCTCTTTTGTTATTAGCCGTTAATCAGTTACATTCTTTCCATATCTTATAAAAAACTGTTGGAATAGCTGCGATACTAACTCTCATTCAGTCATCTCTTGAAAGTAACTGGGCAGCTATCTAATTAAGTGTCTTTTCTATCTTCATGATCATCAATTTATTGCTGCCTCTGTCATTGTTATGACCTCTTTCTGATGGAAGAAAAGCTTGTGTCCTCTCTCAGGGAACTGGCTGGACGCCACACAACATCATTGCTAAGGATGAAAATAATAATATTTTAGGTGTTGTTCCCCTCTATCTCAAAAGGTTCAACATCTGCCATGCTATTTGTGGACCATGCTTTTAATTTGTTTCCTTTATTGGACAATATCTCGACTTTTTTCTGATGACATGCTTGGCTAACTACTTCTGATCCAAATTCGCAGCCATTCTTATGGTGAATACGCGTTCGGTCAATCTTGGGCAAATGCCTACTACAGTTATGGTTGGAGCTATTATTCAAAGCTGCAATGCTCGGTGCCTTTCACTCCAGTTACTGGCCCGAGGATCTTGGTCCATAACACGTCACATAAAGATCAAGTTTTTGACATCCTGGTCTCTGCTATGAAGGATTTGGGAGTCAAGGTATACTTTTCTTCATGTCCGAAACACTTAATAATACTTTGAATTTGTAAATACTTTTTTAAACTCGTCCAGTTGTAAACTATGTCTGACTCTTTCAATTGTTTTAGTTCTTGCTCATTGGGTATGGATATCCTACATATTTAAACCAATATTTTTGTTATCCTTATTTGACAGAAGGTGTAATTTCTTCCAGAATCATAGTTTGGAATGCCCTATTTAATTTCGTATACCTAAACGTACTCCGTTTTTTCGAATTTTGATAACATTTACCTTGACAGTTTAATCGTTTCATCTCTACATATTACTTTTCCAACTGCAAATGACTGGCACAAGCTGGAGGAGAAAGGTATCCTGTCAAGGATTGGAATGGCTGAAACAGTACTTAGAGAGCCTTGTACTTATTGTTTGTGATCCTTGTATTAATCAACTGCTGCAAGTTGGATGTTGTAGACCACCGTGCTTCGATTTTCAATTCTTCCTCTTTCTCTCCAAGTTTGTTTCTATATATGAAGGGCTTTCTACAAACTTAGTTTATCACCAATATACTATTTAACCTTGATGCCACTGCTCCTTTTTAAATTATAATTGAGCAATTATGTTGACATCTGCAAAAAGCACCCCAAGATCCGGAGGACAGTCATCAGGTGATGATTGGAGATCCGCATTCGATACTCCGCCCAAAATGGCGATGCAGGGTCTAGAAGTCGACGTACACCTAGCCGGCTGCCACCTATACCTCCTGGTTCTGGATATGGACCGTAGGCATTTGATTCATATTCTTGACAGCTGAGGAGGTTTTGGTTCCAGCTGTCTTCTTGGACTCTTGTTGTGCTCGGATTTTGCGAGATCTTTGTATACATAGCTTTCACATTTTTAGGTAAATTTTAGCTATTGGTCCAGCGGCCTCTCTTCCCAACAAAGAAAGTTCTCCAGTTGCTGCTTGATCCTAACTACATATATGTTTCAAAGTTGGGAATTTCAGTATAATTTTCATGTATAATCCTGTTGGGTGGGTGGGTATCTCTAGTGTTGGCTGAGCTTTAGCTGGGCTTACATTTTCAACAAGATTGCTTAGGAAAGTTGGTGAAACAATTCTGCTATAGATAATACCTTGATTTATAATCGAATTTGATTCTATCAGATTGCAGTTACATCCTTAGGTTTGACCTTTAGCTTTAAACTTTCCACACCTTTATCCAGCAATGTTGATCAAACTTCAGTATATACATTTTGAAGTGAAACTTTTTTGTCCCAGTTCTATATTTGATTCCTTATATTCTTCAGGATATATTTTTCCACACCTTAATCTTATTGCAGGAGATATCTTGTATGGACGACTATGTGGACGTCTCCCAGTAGTCTACTATGTCAATTTGCATTTTGAAGCATGCTATTACCAGGCATTTTGAACCATCAATTAGCTAGTTGTGTAGTGTAGAATGTCAGCTTGATTACAATATTATTTGCAGAAACTCGTATGTTTCAAGATTTAGCTTGCAGTATTGTATATTCGGTCCTCGTGATCATTCCATGTATTCAGTTAGAGTTCGTGACTCAGTATTACCAGTCTTGGGAGGTTGTACATTCATATTTGTTCCGCTGTTAGTTTTGGTTACTTATTTAATTAAAAACAAATGGCTCCAAAAATGTAATTAAAATCGGCTTACCTAATCTTAGAGACTAGGTGTCATCACGACGTGGTGGGATTTTTGGGTCGTGACAATTGTGGTATGCTTGGTTTGAATATTATATATTAGAATATTATGATATACCGTTTTGAATATTTTATCTAATATTTTATTTTTGGTTTGGATACTATGTTCTAAATTAGAATATTGATCCAATTAAAACTTATGAAAATACTAAGATTTAATATAATAATATTTGCAGGGATAGGTGAATTTGATCCGTGTTGCTAAAATCCTCATCTGAAAGCTTCTTTCCGCCATTGTTGTCACCAACCTTTCGTCTTTTCAGACTTGGAACCCTCATTTTTACCATGTCATATTTTTTTTTCTACTAACATTAATGCCGTCATCCTTTTTGGATGCTCGAACTTTAGAATTTTGAGATCGTATTTTCACAAATCTAACATTATCATTCCTTTTGGAAGCCGATTCATAGATTGCATGTGGAGTTTTTTCCAATAATTTTAATTCTCCCGATTGAATTTCAATGGGAAAAGAAACTTTATCGCCTTTTTCGAGTATTTTTTCAGTGCTATGGAAAGCCAATTTTCTCTTCATCCTTTCCTTCACTTTTTGATTGCTAATTGCTTGAGAGGGAAATCTTGAAAGAAGAGATTGTGTGGGTATAAGGCCTTTTCCCTCCTTTTTGGGGTGTTTTATTCCAATTAAATGTTGATTGAAGATATCTTAAAAGAATAGGAGATAATCTAATCCCTTAAAAGGTAGGATATGTTTAATGACATATAATGATATTAAAGATTTAAGAAGTAAATAAAGTTTTATAAAGTAGGTATAAAATATAAAAAAGAAATATTTTAAAAGTATGTGGAGTTAACCGGTGTTTTTAATGGGTAAACCACGTAAATTATTCTTTTCTTTTTGTAGACAAAACCTGTTAGTATTAACATTATCAAACATATCAAGAATACAACGTACAGATATACCAGTATCTATGTAGTGTTCCTTTTGGAAGTTATGGTAGTTACACTTACAGCAGTGTGGTCCTAACAAGGGGATTTAAAAAAATGCAAACTTGTACCGTGAGTGAATACGCTTAATTATCAAGGGGATTCAACAATTTATATCAAAAAAATTGTTTTAATACTTTTTGCACAGTGTAATTTCTCACATAGCCCATAGGGGATTCAATTGAACCCCCTTTCACACTGGAACTCAATAGTGACACTTTCTCGTGATGTTAATTCAAATGTAGTTGGATTTCTCTTTTGTTTAGGGGAAGGAACTTTTGAAAAGATATCCATTTCTGTGGTTTCCTCAATCTCAACAGTTTCACAGAGGGGTGGGATTCCTGCAGTCTGGACTCCACAGGACCTCAACAGTTTAATCCCTTTCTGTCACTCGGTTTCCTTTCAAGCTTAGAGGAGTCTGGCTCTGCCGTGGAGGTAAAAAATTACTATAACTTTGACAATTTATACCAAAAAAATTGTTTTAATACTTTTTGGGGGTAATTATGAATATTGATTACCATTCTTTCAATATCTGCCAATACTATTGTTGGGACAGCTGTGATGCTAACTCTCATTCACCAATCCATGAACAATCCAACACCCTCTTTAAGCAGACGGCGTCTTTCCTTGTCGATACACCCCAGTTTACATCATGTTCATCCCCCTCTGTCTGCGCTGTGCTTGTGTAATAAATCATTGATATATGATTTAGTTATCACCATTATCATCTCTAAAGGTTCTTTCCAACTCACGATTTCGTAAATCCCATTTAGCCTAAACAAAAAGAAGTGTTCAAGTCATAGCTGCCTAATTCAACTTAGATCTTGTAAAACATAGTAATTTTTCTTGCTTTCGATTTCCCAATGTTGTTGAGATATTTCCCCCACTTCAACATATAAAGTCTAGTGGAGAGGAAGGAAAAGTGGCATATTTAGCTGGTTGGCAATTTTGGGGGTTTATTTAACTCAAGACAAACAACAACATACACAGTGTATTCTCACAAGTGAGGTCTGGGGAGGGTGGGGTGTACGCATACCTTAACCCTACCTTTTGAGAGGTTGAGAGGTTGTTTCCGATAAGACCCTCAGCTCAAGAAAAACGTTTTCAAAACAGGTTTGAAAAATACAAGAGTAAAAAAGTATTGACAGCAAAATAGTAAAGATAACCAAAGTAAAAGAACAACAATAGTAATGAATCTGGAGAATAAGATAACAATAGAATAATAACAATAATACTGAAAAAGAGATTGGAATGCTTTATTCTTGTAATGTAGCAATGTCGTATTTGAACTCCTCCATCAAATAATTCTTGTTAAAAAGTAGCTCATCTGAAGTATTGAAGGAAACAGTATGCACTTGTGAAATGCAAAGCATTATATAGTCATGCTTCATAGAACTTACAGAAAAGTGGTTTGCCAAAACTGGTGTATCTTCACATATCCTAGGAAATCTCTGCCAGCGCAGAAATTCACCTTTGAAGCTTCTTCCTATGCTTCCTGCACTGAATTTTTTTCCTTTTATACAACACATATCAAATAATTCAGTTGAAATAGCTGGAACAGATTAGCAATATATCACAAATCTTCTTCATCAGCGTGCAGACATGTACGGTAACTAACCCCTTTTACAGTGAATAGGGAAAAGAAATTCTTGCTGATCCATCAAATGATATGAAATCATTAACATTCTAATGGGAGCAGAGTACAGTGTACCAGTAACATGAAAATGTACTATAATTTTGTACAGAGAATGGATCATCACGCAAGCATGACGAACAACAACAACATACCCAATGTAATCCCACAAGTGACAAGTGGGGTCTGAGGAGGGTAGTGTGTATGCAGACCTACCCCTATCTTGTGTAGGCAGGTTGTTTCCAATAGACCCTCGGCTCAAGGAGCAAGCAAGCATGACGAAAATGTTAATATTTAAGATAGCAACAGTAGGTGCAGCAAATTTGTATTTTGAAAGGATTGTGATACTACAGCAATATCTCTTGACAAAAAAATGTTCAATATCTTGTGCCATACCCCTATACCACCAATAGAAACTCGTTGGCATGATGAGTAGATCCTTTTTATGAAAGGATTGATAAACAGACCATCCTTCACTTTGGCTTTTTCTTCTTGTAGAAATCTCCATAGCCGGAAACCTAGAGGAGCCAGAGAAACCATTCTTTCAGCTTAAGACTGAATTCTGAAAGGGAAATATCATCACAGTTTAACTTGCACTGCCAAGTCAAAGATGAAAGTTTCACTGGGTCAACCTTAACCTCCCCATGCTTGCGACATTCTCCTTCTCCTTCATCAAATCCATCAATCAACATATCTCCTGAAAAAGAAGCAGAATCAGTCATAGTTCAGAATCCAAGAAGCATGGAAATAGACGTTGCTTTATTTAACTCAAGACAATTTAATAAAAAGAGGCATAGCAATCTGCAGGTGCTACTTATGCTTGACAGAGAATGAGAACATAGATCATCTGTTTTTGCATTGTCCTGTAACAAAGATTGCATTCCTGTAACAAAGAACAACTGAGATACGTTTTTCTGCCTTTTGGAGTACACTGGTTACATCTTGTTGCATTGGAGCATTTGGAAGGAGAGGAATCTGAGGTCTTTTGATGGAGTCTCAACTCCAATTCATGCATCAAACACTTATTGAATCTTTTAGCTTGGTGTAACCATTGTAATGTAAATAATGCTCTTATGTTTTTGGATTTTGTAAGCCCCTTGAATTTTAGATAGGGGCGAATGGAGTGTACAGGAGCTCCCTGTTTTTGTATTGCTTTTGCATCGTCCGGATGCTGGTCAATGAAATCTACTTTTTGCCGGACCTAAAAAAGAGTCTAGTGGAGAGTAAGGAAATGAAGAGTGGTTGTTGTAATGAGTGAAAGCAGTCGGAAATAGCAAGCATACTTAGTGAAGTGTTGATTAAGTGTGACAAACTTGAGGTGCTCTAACTTGGCTGGTAATTGGCAACGCTGATTGTATCAAATAGTGGCATAGAAAACTTAATTTCCTAGGGAAATGGTATTCTTAAAAAATAGTTGCAGCAAGATAGTTTAGCTTTTAGGCAGATTAGATTTAATTCGTTAAGAACCACAAAAGTCCAAAAAACTGGATAACACAAAAGAAATTGACGGATTTAAGACTTGCCATAGAAGTGATTTGTTGTCAAGCTCCTGCTTTGGTACATCGTGGCCACGCATTGTCACCAAGTCTAAGAAGATAGCTTTGTTCTCACAACAAATAACAAGAAAACGGCGCCCTTTGGTTGATGGAGCAGGAGAAGTAAAAGTTGAAGTGACATGACCAGCAGCTGCTGGAGAATCGGCAGCAGCAGACTGATTACGCCAGAGTTGCCAAAAGCGTATATCATCATCGTATAACCTAACCTGCTTTACACTTGAACCATGCACCAGAATAGCATACTAAGATTCAACAAAGACATTAAAGAAGATGAAAAAATAAGGAAGTCCAAGGTAAGGATCAATTATGGCTTCTATAGGTTTCCCTCTAGGCTCTGCACACAACATTGACATTAAAACCATCTTTGATTTTCCATAGAAAACCTGCATTATAGTCCTATAAGCTGGTCCTCTTATATTCTTTAACACCTATCTCATTTACTCTCTTCAGGCACGGCTCCTTTGCTCTTCACTATCTCCAATAACTCTTCCTCGCTGCCTTCACCAGCCCTTCATAACTACCCAAACAAGTAGCTGCATTAGGTTTCATTCCCCTTTTCTCGACTATCTCCAACACATACTTCCTCGATGTACTTCGTATAACATCTGGAATCAAAACACTACGCGTATACGCATTAGGACGCACCCCATTTGCCAGCATCCGCAGGTACACCTTGTGAGCCTCCTTGGGCTGTCCCCGCATTGGAGTATGCCTCGATTACCACCGTGTGAGCTACCACATCGGGCATCTGGTTCTTGTCCTTGATCTGAGAGAATAGCTCCAACGCCTCGTGGGTCAACCCGTCCTTTTCAAAATCCGTTGAAGAACGAACATCTTCACTGCATTGTTGATTAGCCCATCTAACCTTATCTTCCGAGACACTTCTTGCTAGTTCGTTGGGTCATCGGGTTCCTTATGGTGGTGGTAATTTGGATTTGTCTATCTGTTTATTTGACGATTTCGTTACCTCTTTTGTGTCCGCTTCAGAATCAGAGTCTTCTGAATCAGATAACGAGAAATTGACTAATGTGTTGCGCTTCGGAGGAGCTGGAGTTGTATTCGAAATGGGTGTTTCAGGGGTGGTGGAAAATGGTGTGCTTCTGAATGAGCTAATTGCGGAAACTGAAAAAGAGGACACTGTTTCTGGGATTTGGATTGGGAAAGAGGAGTAGTGGAAACGAAGGGTGTAAGGGTAAACTAGACGGCGAAGTAGTGAATAGGATGACGGCGGAGAGACGGTGAGCCACCGAGTAATTGAAGCGTCTTCCAAAGATCATCAGTATACTTTTATGTAATATTTATTTGTTTGATAAGAGTTCTAATACAATATAGACTGGAGTTCCTACTGAGGATTTGGGTTGAAAATGCAAAACTACAGAATAAAACAATGAAATACACCGGTCAGAAACTGAACTGAAAAAGAAACCAATCCCAACACATGTCATATAGTTTGGTTCATTGCATTTTTTTATAAGACTAGTCTCTCGACACGTGTATATCAAGTCAATTATACATTAAAGTATATAGTAAAAGTTCTGGTAAATAATCAATGGATCTATCATATACACTGATAGAATACGAGGGTCCACCAGACTATATAAGAGAACCAGTTTCCTAAGATCACACACACATGACAGTAAGTAAATGACATTGAGAGTTTTTACGTGAAAAATTCCCAACTCACGGGATTAAAAATCACGACCTACCCTTGTAAGATTTCAACTTCACTACTGAGCAAACTTTTAGATTACAACCTATTGTAACCTAGGAATTAACTTCTTAATCCTTCACTAACTTGTAACGATCCTATTACAAGCCACTTCGTAATACCTCTATTACAAAGACTTTACAACTTGACTAACTCTAGTCAAGGCACAAACGCAAGGGTTTATGATTTACAAAGAGTTTCCTATAAGATGCTTCTAAGTAAGCTAAGTAGGAATTACAAGTAAGAACTTTAACAAAGTTACAACTCAACTAAGGGCACATAATAACTTGATATGGGGAACTTGTTCGTAGAAATGATGTTCTTTGTTCTTGATGCACTTGAGAATCGTTTGTTCGATGATCAATCACTGTGGGAGTGCTTGAGTAAATTCTCTAAGTATTCAAGTGATGTTTTGTCTTTGGTTTAATGTTAATATAACATTAATGACATCACTTGAATGATGTAAGCAACTTGGGTACAAGATCCTTCCCAATAGAGTTGACTGTTGCATTGTGTTGTAATGTTGCGTATGCAGACAGTCACTTTCCAGCTGTTGGAGAGTTGACTGGTACGATCACCAAGGGAATTGATGTCCATCTGTTCCCCTTGTTGATTCTTAATCTTCTGAAAGACTGAGGAATATCTCCAGCTTTAGTCTGGTTATTTCCATATGCTTGAGAATGTGTACCAGATGTGTATCGGGTTCCTTATCTGGTTCTTGACATTAAATTTGTTAGATCATCAAAACATAAAACAAGGTACTTATAACCTATCAATTTTCCCCTTTTGATGATGACAAACTTATAATTGAAATTTTTACAAAGAACTAGAAATGGAAACTCTTATCCCTTGAATTCCCCCTGAATTTGTATTCCCCCTCAATCAATGCACATCATTTATTCAATTATGTAAATCTTCCCCCTTTTAGCATCATAAAAAGAAGAAAACCAAACAAAAGCAAAAAGAAGTCCAGTGTGGTTAACTCATGCCACATGTGTGCACACAAACATGATAGAAAACAGAGACATAAGAGTAATATATACACAGCAAAAAGAGAAAAGCTTTCATTAAACAATTTGGATTTTACAACAGGAGTAGTTTCAATGTTGCCAGCAACCATCCACAATTCAAAACAAAAAAAAACAAGTACCAACCACAAAACATCATCAGAAAAAGTCATAAGAAACAAACTTAAAACTGGACACTGGAGGGGACACTGTTTAGGGAGCACTGGAGGAAGGGGGCAAGGGTTTTGAGGACTAGATCCATTCGGGCATTCACCGACATTTGCTCATTGAGCAGTCGTTCTTTCAGGTCCTCCACTTGTTTCTTGAGCTCAGCATTCTCCTTAGTCAGACGGGCAACCTCTGAGCTTTGAGAACTATTGAAACCAGGTGCCTCCTGAAGCTGACTGAGCTGACCCTCAAGAATAACATTCCTTGCTTTTAACTTCCTGATCTCCTCTGTAGCACTGTTCCGAGTGTTGATTAGCTGAGAGATGGTAGAAGTGCTTCCAACTCCTCCAACCTTATCAATGCACTCACATTCTTCGAGAGTGGTCTTGGAGAAAGTTTGCTTCCTAGTGCCCACTTTAGCTTGTCCCAGAGGGACCTTCTAGAATTCAAAAACCTTGGTGAGAAGGAACCCATAAGGCAGCACATGGTTACCATCTTTGAACTCTGCCACTTTTTGCATGTGTTCAATCATAATCCCAGGCAGGTTAATGGTAGTGAAGCCATTGAACACTTCTATGAGAACCAGGTCGGCTTTGGAGGTAATGGATCTCCTCTCAGCACGGGGAAGCAACACTTTGTTCACCATCTCAAACATCAATTGGTACACTGTAAGGAGAGCCTTCTTGTGCACTTATTGCCTTATCCTTAACAATAGCATTTCTGAAATTGGAAGATCAGGATCCTTGGATTGATGACAACCCTTCAGCAGGCACACCCAGAATCGACCCCAACAAAGCTAATTCTATCACAATGTCAACCCCATTCACCAGTACATAGATGTGACCATCCTCAACTTTGAAGAAGTCGGCATAGAAGCTCCGTACTTCCTCCTCATACACTTTTGTAGTATTACTTGTAAACAAGTGTGTCCATTGTTGGAATTCACAAATTTCAACCAATTGCCGCATCCCGGCCAGCTCCAAAATGTCAGAGGCAAATATGGCGGCCCCATAGTACCTTCCGATTCCTCAATTTTTCTTTCCCATCACTCTGGGACTCGTTAACCTTTGCTTTCTTGGAGGAATCGAGTTCCTTATTGACATCAACTTTTCTTTTCATAGACTTGCGATCAAATTTTCCCTTCTCAACGGACCTTGCAGGCACTATTTTCTTAGACACATGTTCACCAGAATCTTCCACCATCTTATTAATAGATTTTCCACCACTTTCTTCCACTATATTGTCACCAGATTCTTCCACCAAATATTCACTCGAGATAGCATCATCACTTTTGTTTGGACTCTCAACACTCATAGAAGTTTTCTTTTTAGACTTGGAGAGAGAGTGCTTCTGTGAGCGCTTGTGAGGCAAGGAACCAGGTTCCTCGTCCACTTCATCATCCACTGTAACACCAGGCACTACCGTATCATGCAAAGCCTTCTCATCCTTCACCAGTTTCCTCCTCATTTGATTGACTTGGCTTTTCTTAAGAGCAGACTCCAGAGCCTCCTTCTTTGCAACCTTGTAGTGGGTGACTTGGGAGTTGGCTCTGGAGTAGCAACTAGTTTACGCCTAGCCCGGATAAAGCTAGCAATAGCTATATCATCGAAATCCTCTTCACTATCCCCATTCTCTTCACCAGATATAGATCTCATCTCAGACACCACCACAGACAAAGGCTCAGCATAAAAATGAGGAGAGAGAGAGAGAGCAGGATCAATACTGACCTGGGGCTCTTGAGAGGACCATTAAGTTGGATCCTCCAAGGAGGTATCATGTCCTTCATTAGGTACCCCAGTAGTATTGTCCTGTGCCAGCTGTTCAACAGGCACAAGCTCTCTCCCTTCTACCATGGTCTGATGCTCTTCCCCCTGAGGCTCAGACCCATCCTCACCTCATTCGACAATAACTCCTTCAACAACTATAGAAAACATATTTTATATTGCTTCTTTCTCTTGTAACTCCATGGAAAATGCAGGAGAAGGAAGAGTGTTACCTGTGGACTCAAGATTAGGAACTGTCCTTGTTGAGTCAGCATTCTCAGGACCAGCAATTTGGTTTGTATTTGAGTCTTGTTCCATAGGAGGACTGGAGATTTCCTGATTTTCCTCTTCGTCAATAGTACCCTTTTCACCCAGTCTTTCCGGCGAGGCAAGAGGAGAGCTCGTAGCCACAAACTTTTTAGGATTCGAGGTTTTGGCTCTGATGAGA